TAGGGTTCCTCTGTTTGTTCTATCGGAATAAAATTTTTATGCTCATAGGGAATTATAAATTCATGACTAGTCGTCCTAGGTGCATTTTTCATGGGAAACTCATTCTCAAAAAAATGTAGCGTCTCTAGATTCTATGATTGTATCAACAGCCATCTCAGGAACACTAGAGTTTATGATTAAAAATCTATAACCCACGCTGTGAATAGCATAACCAAGAAAGACACAATCAATAGTCTTTGGTCTAAGCTTTCACTTTTTGTTTATTGGCACATTCACCTTTGCCAAACAACCCTAAGTTCACAGGTAAGAGAGATTTAATCTCTTCTTCTCCCATTCCTCGAATGGTGTAATTTCTTTGTTCTTTGTGGGCACTCTATTCAGGACAAGACATGCTGTCAATATAGCCTCACCCCACCATTCCTTAGATAGTTCCACAGTCTCTAACATAGCATTTACCAAATCAGTTAGAGTGCGGTTTTTTCTCTCTACAATCCCATTGGACTGTGGTGAGTATGGTGGCGTCCTCTCATGAATAATTCCATGCACCGCGCAAAACTCAGAAAATTCATTTGAGAAATATTCTCCCCCGCGATCGGACCGCAAGCGCTTGATTTTCTTCTTAAGTTGATTTTCTACCTCAGCTTTATAGACTTTAAAATAATGCAACGCTTCATCTTTAGTTTTTAATAAATACATGTAGCAAAATCTAGTACAATCATCTATAAATGTCATGAAGTATCATCTACCTACTTTAGTCAATTCGCCATTTATTTCACATAAATCAGAATGAACAAGTTCTAATGGTGCTAAATTCCTCGTCTTAGCAGCCTTGTGATGCTTGCGCGGTTGCTTCGATTGCACACACACCTAGCACTTAGAATCTTTGACTAAGTTAAATTTCAGGATTAAATTCAGATTTGCAAGCCGTGTGAGACAGCCAAAATTAATGTGACAAAGTCGTGAATGTCAAATATTCGACTCATCCAAAACATTAACATTGTTCACCACTTTATTACACACATCATCAAGCAAAGATAAGTGGAACAAGCCTCCGCAATCATAACCTTTTCCAACAAATGTTCCATGTTTCGACACAACACATTTATTGGACTCAAGCATAATTTTAAAGCCATCGCGACACATCTGAGAAGCGCTAACAAGATTCTTTTTGATGGAGGGGACATGCTGTACGTTCTTTAATAGCACCGTCTTTCCCGAAGTAAACTTCAGAACGATCGTACCAGCACCAAGAACACACGTATGCGAACCGTTTTCCATCAGCAAGGCTCTAGTCCTACTGACATGATAAGAAGTAAATAAAGAAACATCAGCACACACGTGAATATTAGCATCGCTGTCCATCCATCACTCAGGTGAAAGACAAACTGAGAGAACAAAAGGTAAAGAATTACCATACCCAGATGTTCCTCCTCCAGTCTCGCTAATTACCACGTTTGCTGATTTCTTTTCTTGCTTATATTTGCGGTCTAGGCACGCACTTAGCCAATGCTCATCACTCCCGCAAACAAATCAACCTTCACCTTTCTTGTTGTTTTTTCTTCTTAAACTGTGCAGTTTGCTTAGGCTTTGCATTGTTGTTCTTGCATGTTCTTTTTCTTTTTATTACGAGATGCAAATGAGTTTTTCTTCTGTACTATATTGGCGGCGGAAGACTCAACTCCTTTTCTACGGTTGTCTTTTGCTCTCGCCCTCTCCTCAACATCAAGAGATCTAATAAGCTCAGCCACGCTAAACTCTTGTCTCTTGTGTTTTAGAGAAGTAGCAAAATCCTTCCAAGAAGGTGGCAACTTAGCGATTATACCGCCGGCCACAAACTTGTCGGGCAACAAACATGGGAAATGTTCTAGTTTTTTTGCTAGCGTCTTTATCTCATGAGCCTGTTCGACCACAGAACGGTTTTCAACCATTTTATAGTCATACAACTGCTCCATAAGGTATAACTCACTGCCAGCATCAGAAACTCCAAACTTTGCCTTAAGAGCATCCCATAACTCTTTGCCTGATGTGCAAGATATATAGTTTTTCTCATACTTAGGATAAAGTGCACTGATTACGGCGCCTCGAAACAGGTTATTGGTAGCCAAGAACTTTCTCTCCTCCTCAGGAGTAAACTGTTCAGGCTTCCCCTGTGCGGCGTGATAACAGTTTATCGCAGTCAACCACAATACTATCTTGGCACACCATATCATGAAATTCTTGCCATCAAAATTATTTTGCTTCAAAGTAGCAGCAAAACCACTGACAGAAAATTGTCTAACATTAGTTTTTTTGATTGTTAGAGATTTAGGCATTTTCATTATCAGTTTAATCCAGAAAAATAACATCAGCAGGTTCGTGATAGCATATATGTGCATGTGTATATCTTTAACGAACGCTACAGTATGCAGAGATGACATACAGATAAATACAGTAAAAACGCAGATTACAGTAATCAGAAAGATTAGACTGTATCCAGCGGAGGGTCCCATGCCGAGGGCATCGGAGGCTCCATTAGCACTAGTCGACATAGTGCGTTGCTCGAAGTCACGGACCACAGTCGATGCAAGACGATATTCGCAGTGCAGTCCCACGAACGGATCACCAGGAAGAAGATGCCGGCCTTGATGTTCCGCAGGCAATCACCAGGAAGAGGACGGGATCCAAGAGCGATCACCACCAGGAAGAAGACGTACGTGGACGAGCAGTCGCGGATCGCTCCCCAAAAACCTAATCGCCGCACACCCCGTGCAAGGTTCTCAAGCGGGCGAGGGTTCTGGAGGCATCTGCTCTCCCGCTGCTCCGTGTTCGCAGAGGTACGGGACCGGGAAGCCAGAAGGCTGCTGATATGTGGTTTCTCTCAGGAGCGGTTGCGGAAGACCGAGAGTCTGGACTGACGGAGGACTGCGGATATATGGATGCGACGGGAAGGGAGAGATGCGACGGAGAATCAGAAAGGGCGGTAATTGACGCAATCAGTTCGCCTCCACCATCAAAGGGAGGAACTCCCGTGATTATGTGGATTAAGTAGCAAAAGACTAGCCACGCCCGCTCGCTCGCCGCCGGCCTCACCACGGCCCACGCCCATGCCCACGCCCATGCCCTGGCCCGGCCGCCGGCGGCGGCGGCGCGCGGCACGCCTTTATCCTTTTCTCAGGTTCTCAATTTAGATGAATAATTTTCAATCATATAAGCTGAGTCAACGTTCAGTCAAAATCCCATATAATATTAAATTATACAACACTTAATGTTACATGCCATAAAGTCTTATTTGATTTATTAAATATTATATGGGCAAAGCCCATATTATATCAACAATACATAGCACATAGCAGTGCAGGACGATGTGAACACGTCCGATCCATATGCAAAACACGTAGTCTTCATGCGCCAAGTGAGCGAGCGACCAGGACGTACACGCCTAGCTAGTCACAACTGGCCGTGCAGCCCCGTGCCGGGCAGAAGACGACCTTGAGCTCACCGGGCGCGATGCAGTCCTGCGGCGTTGCCTCGACGTCCGTGGAGGTTGTCCTCGTGTCGGGGCACTTGGCCTTGAACAGCGCCGCTTGCGTGCCCCCGGCTCCGCAGCCGCCGCCCTGGGGCGCCCCGGCGCCGGCGGGGCAGCACTCCTGGGTGAGGTCCACGGCGCACCCCAGCGTCGGGCACTGCGCCCCCGCCGCGAATTCGTGCGGCGTCACCACCATGGGCACGTTGAACCCGTCCACCAGGCTCACGCTGTACACGGCCAGCCCGCCGTCCCCGCCCACGCTCATCTGCGCCACCGTCTCCGGCGGCGCGTTGCCGGTCTCGCACTGCAGAGGGCAGTCGTCGTCGCACGCCGACATGCCATCGTCAGCGCACCCCGTGCGCGCCACCACACGGCCCGACCACGCGCCCTGCGGCAGCGCCATGGTCACCAGGCCCTCGCCGTTCCCGTCGAGGCGGGCGTCGGTGCCGGCGACAGAGGGGTACCCGGCGTTGGCGGTGACGAGCGGCCAGACCGGGTAAGGGCAGAGGTTGTGGAGGGTGAGCTTGGGGCAGGACCACGCATCGCCTGCAGCGACGGCGGCGTTGGCGAGCACGGCGAGCGCCATCAAGGCCAGAGCTTCCTGCGTCTTGGACGACGTGGCCATTGCTGCTGGAAATGCAAGCGCCGATCAATAATGCAACAAAAGTGAGCATATATACGAAAAATGTGGCTATTAATTTGCTCCAAACTGGAAGTAAACTGATTGGCTGGGGTCTCGATTTCGTGGCGACTGGTGGTTGAGCTGAAGCCTTGGGGAAGAGGGAGTTGCCAGTTGCGTGTGGCAGCTGATAGTTCCCTTGGTGCACTACATGTCTTCAGCCCCGGAGGTTACGGCACAATTAGTTTCTTGATAGAAACGTACTAGTGGCAGGAGCTAAGTTGTATTTTTTTAAATGAAAACACAATAGGAAAGCTACATGTTGTATTCTGTTGTATTAGAAAGAACATCTGTACAAGGCCTCTTACATAAAACTTCTAGAAAGGAGTGAGCCGAAAACCAAAGAACTCAAAAAAACAAAAGGGCGCTCAGGAAATTCCAAGAACCACTAGCTGCTTCACGCCTGCTAAGATCCATAATAAATGTTGTGAGAATTGTATGGCCAAGACAAACATAATAATGCAGGACTAGTCTCACAGTCCTAAACATTAGCCTTGTGAGGCAACAACCTCTTCTCTCTCCCCTCACTCTATCATCCACATTACCTAAAATCTTAGGCATCATATATGAAATGGCCTTTTAGATGACTACCTTCAGTTAGGCTTTAGGCCTTTCTGGTATTACGTATCAAAATCCACGTTAACAATTCTAGTTGTGTTCCCTCAAAAGAAAAAACACAGTTCTAGTTGTTATTTTGTTCTAGCAGTAGTGTTTCAGCAAGTAGTTGTGGCTCATTCGCTCTGCCCTAAAATTGCAACATTGCACAGCTTCACATGCATGTTAGGTTGAAACTTTTTCTTAATAGCAATGCATTTGTCAAGCAAGGAGCTCAGTCACTCTTTGTATTAGCACATCCTTCGTTCCTCCAACCTTTGCTTTCTTTGCAACGAGGAAGCACTTCAGATCAGTGACTGTCAGTAAACGCAGGTCACCTCTCCTATGATGATCGATCACCTGAATGTATTTAAAATCAAGTTATTAACCACAAGCAGCAGATTATCTATCTTCAGGTAATGTATGAGGAAAAATGTGAAACAAATGGCTGTCACCTTTGCTATCAATTGATCACTGGCAACATCTGGCTTTGCTTTTGTCTTCGTCTTTGAATTCAAGAGATCCTTGTCAACTGCCTTTGCTATCACCTTTGTTACCTTTTTGTTAAGCTCATCATTCTGATCATCTCTCACCTGAAGGAATTCAATCCATTTTTTTTTTTGTTAATTGATCAAATCACAAGATATATAATTATATATAGTTACAGAAAATTATTGTTGACAACTGGAATTTTGATTAATTACCTTTATAGCAAACTCATTTTTGACAACTTCTGGCATTGTTTTATGTTTAGTTGCAGCAGTCATCACATTCTTGTCAAGATCTCGCTTGCCCTTTCTCTTTGCTTCTGCAATTAACTCATCCTTGGGAACAACAGACTTCAGCGTTGGGTTTATTACCTTCGTGGTAAGCACACCTTTTTCAATGTGCGGTGTTGGTTTTGTCACTTGGATACCTGGTGTGTAATATTTACTGTGCAGAAAGGTAACATGGCATTTAGCCCTACAGCAATCATGGAGGACCTGAATGCAGGCTACTCAAGAAGAAGAAAAAAAGATATTAAACTACAAAGAATGATACATTGTTGGGGGTTGGGGGTTCATTTCAATAAGGACAGAATGGTTGGACTAGACATTCAGGAAATGCAAGGAGGAACAATCTACTGCATATAAAAACTAGTCCAGAATTCCCTTGTCATGTCATCTGTATGCAACACTAAGAAACAAGTGCAAGCTGCCACTCTAACTAAGTGTAAACATCATTCCGGAGCGCTCAGTCATACAAGTGAATAACCAGTATGGCAGCAACTACCTTGATAAGCAACTCAAAAGGTGAGGTGGTTGGTGGAGGCAAGAAGTATTGTTAGTATGAATTCGACAAGATTGAAGCACACATTATTCACAGCGCTGCCATCGTTTGAATGAAAAAGCTCGCAAAATCGGATAGACTGACATCACAAATGTGAACGGAATGGGGATCAATTGCCTTCCTTCTCTATTATTCATTACAACAAATGAGCTCTTTCCTATTTTTAAAAACAAAGTGGGTCCTACCGGAGTACCCTATGTCTACCTTTCCCTTTTTCCAGCTGGTTCCAAAAATTTAAGAAGGCCTAATATTTAAAATTTGTTAAATATTCCAACTGGATGATCATGAGTGACAAAAAAATGAACTAGAATGAAAGAATAAAACCAAAGCAACAAGAGTCGTTTGGACTGCACCACTTCCCCTTACGGAGTACATTGAGTTCCATGGTTTGTCTAAATTGCAAGATACCTATGAGTATAAGATACTACCCTCTACCTCAATTGGTTTTAAGAGAAGAACTGTAGCTTGTAAAAGTGTTTTAACCTTTTATAGATCAAGGCTTCAATTTTTTTATTTGCAAACTATATATTATTCATTGCAATTAACAGCATGGCTGATGACATATAGAAAAGATAAAAAGGACTTATCTTCCTTCCTGTGTCCAAATTCTTTGTTTCTAAATAACACTGTTGGACTGCATGGTAAATAAGGAAGATTAGATATTGTCTTATAATTATATGTGAAGACAGAACAGTTTCAGGATTAATTATACCTTCTGCAATTCCTTCACCTCCTTGACTACTGGTCTTCAGTAACTCTGCATGCTTTCTTCCAAGATTTTCAGAAACCTGTTGTGATGATCAAGACATGCAGCTAAAGCTTCATGTTTCCTAAGTATGCACACTGGGAATATACCGAACTCTAAATAAGGTTACTTTTGACATAAAACTGCACAAGCTGGTTTAAAGCTTAAATCAACTTCAAAATGTATCTTATTTGTTTCTAAAATACAGTCTAGCACTAGTGCACTACTGTATACACATTATGAGGGAACATAAGGGAATCATTCAGATGGACAGCAAGTTTGGTGTACAAACTGGACAAACTACAGGAACTGATTGCCTTCCAAAATACAGGCAAACCCTGATCTGAAAGAGGAAGAAAATAACAATCATATATATAGCATACCAAAAACCTTAACAAAAAAAAGACACCTTTTAAACCCTAAATTCTGCTGCTGCAACACAAAAACATTCTGCTATTGTCATATAACGCTCTTGGCCCCACGTATAACTATACTCCATTTCACAAATAATAGTTGGTCATGCATACTAGAATTATTGTGGTTATTCCTCTGGTGAGCTAAGTCCATACCTGAATGTCTGGCATGTGAAGAATTGCACTTGATGAACTAACATGATTAGCATTATTTGCCACAGCATCAGGATGACTTGATTTTTTTGAATTATCAGTATAAGATTGTTCTGATGCAACAATGATTAGAGGTAGTGTAAGGAGAATTTCCTTTTACTAATGGAGCAAAATAATATTGACAAAATGAATAAACAATGCGATCAAAGGTACCGTAGATGTGCATGCATTTATAATTGTAATAAACCGATAATACCTACCTGATGAACATCTCAACTTCCTTTTTTCTGTTGATTTGCTTCTGCTGAATGAAGGCTTCATCAGAGTAACTTGTGCTGCATAAGATTTTAGTATAGAAGGAACAGGTGTTTTAAGTCCCAAAAGCAAATACTACTGCATAGCTAAAATTCTAATTTAATAGGAGTTAGCTCCTATCTCCCTCTTCAGATCATTGAAAGATTGAAGCAAAGATGGGACAACTTTTAACATGAAAACTGATCTTCAACGAGCATATTACTTTGGCATGGCATGACATGCTGGGAGATTTGGCTGCAAAGAAATAGAATACTCTAACAAGGTGCCCCCTAAGAGCATCTCCAGCATTCTCCCAATATGACTTCTCATCCCCATAATACTGTCATATTGGGGGAGATAGAGCTATTTTCTTGCTCTCGTGGTCTCCACAATAGTTCTCCCTTTTTTTTGGTGGCCACCAAAAAACTCCCCATCTCCTCTTAAATAAAGTGGGAGTTTCATCTCCCCAAATAGCATGAGCCCCACAATAACTACCACTTCTTCCCCACTCACCATGTGCCATGGCCACAAACTCTGTCCGAGCACCGCTAATCCACGCCCATGCCGATGAGCCCAATCCCCAAGCCATCGGCCCCAAGCTGGCGCCTCTCAGGTAAGCAACACTAGTGCACACCCACTTCATGCGAGCCCAGTCCAAAGCTGCTGGTGCCTGTGCCTCTGAGCCCAGCCCTGAGCTGTTGTCCCAAGCCTCCGCCTCCCACCGAACTCCGGACGATCTGTGCTTGTGCTGAACCGAGGACAAGCGAGATGGACCTGCAGCGGGGATAGATAAGAAAGAGATGACCGTCGTCAATCTGACCTTAGCCGTGTGACCGCAACCCAAAGCAATGGTGGCCACGACATCCTGAGCTATCGGTAAGCTGCCTTCATCCAATGAGGTCCTGCACCACCAGAATCAATGTCGTGATCTCTGATGTTGACCAAAATTGGGGGAGGGGGGATTGTGCTCTCTGCTTGTAGCTGAGTCAATGGCAATCGATGTTGAGGGCTTCCATGGAGGGCTCGAGGGAGAGGTGCAGCTACCAGGGAAAGGGAGGAGAGGCTGATGAGGGGTGGCCGGTGATGAACTGGGATGCGAAGGGAGAGATATGCTCAATGAAGATGAAGGAGAGGAAGGAAAATAAAATAACCCACATACAGGTGGGGTCCATCTGCCAGAAAGAATAATTGGAACAGACTATTGTGGACTGCAAAACTATTCCATCTGCCAGAAAGAATAATTGGAACAGACTATTGTGGACTGCAAAACTATCTCCCCCAATAATCCTAGAAATAGTATTTGGGTGACCCAAATACTATTTTAATGGGGATGAGATATTGGGGAACTAGTGGAGATGCTCTAACAAACATCTTTGTAAGAGTATGAAGGATTCAGATATGGTGCTTGACTGCTCGTAAAACAAAGGTTTCTAAGAAGTTTTTTCCACATGTGGAAAAAGCTTGCTATAGTTGAATCACATTGGTTAAAGAGTAGCCTTAAATGTTGTATTATTTTAGATTTAGCAGTGGAGCACCCAAGTCCCGTTGGTTTTGTTTATCCTTGAAAAGTTTGGCCTTGTAGGACCTCCTGTACAAATACCCTAGTAACATATATTCGAGTGCGGTCCTCCCCTACTGTTCACAGGGATAAGATAGACAAACCAACCCTTTTTAGATGGAACTTGCATACTGAAATATATGCAATGAGAAACATCTTCAATAATCAAACCTAAATTATTCATATATCTTGATGCTTCAAAAATCAGAAGTAAGCAAAATCTGATCTTACATTTATATGAACTGTTTGTAGCAAGCTGTTGTGATTGAAAACTGAAGCTTATAGGACTTGTTTCACTGAGATTTTCATTGTCATCCAAAGAATGAGCTATCTTGTGAACTTCGGTATTCCACAGTTTTGCACTCAACGAACAAACGACAGCAGGTTTTGGGGTGCGAAAGTCTTGTAAAAGAAAAAAAAAATATATGCATTTAGTTGTTGATATTTGATAAAATAAAATAAAAACAGTCATGCAAACATGTCAGTTCTGGCAAAACGTACCTAGAATAAATGATTGGTGTTTGGACATAACATCAGTATGACCTAAATCAAGATTCTCAATATTATCAGTTCTTGAACTGTGTGTTGTCAGGTCACTTGCAGCCTTATCCCAAGCAGGCAGAGTTGATGAGCGGTTCAGTAGAACCTGTTCCTGTAACAGAATAATTTAAATCACACCGAGACAACATATATCTGCTATACTCACTACACATAACAAAACAGAGAGAAATAAAGGCTATTATAGTTCAACAAGAGCACTAACTTTTAAGACCATGAAGAAAGGATAGGCATTCATAGTAGCAAAATTACATGTAAGTATGTTCAATTCCCACTTAATAGTATGTGGAGGAAAAATAACTCAATCTGATAGAATGAGTTACAAAAAGGCTGATTGCTCAAACCATACCTTAATGGTTAGATTATTATGGCCAAAGAAACTCCAAGCTGAAATAAGGAGAAAGGTTAATTAGTATTCAATAAGATATCATTACAGCATGTATAACAATATTTCCCAGAACCATTAATACATAAAGATATATACTCAGCAAAAGTTTGTATGTCAATGTGTCAGTGTACACAAATCTAAATAACCTGATCACAAAGGCAGATAAGAGTTCAGACAGACTATTTTCATAAAAAGGTGGCAACAGCACATCCATACCTTTCAATAATTCTACAAAGGATTGCAAGGCAGACATTGCCTTAGATACTCTTACAGATTTTAAGGCTGGTTGAAGCCCTGGACCTTGGAGAACTAATGAAGAAGGCCACCTACTTAATTCAATAAAAGAAAGCAAATCAAATGCATGTTGAGATAAATGTGAGAAGTGAAAAATGTTCTGTATACCAATATCATCAGTGCAACATAATATATGGAGAGGATGCTAAGGAGGCAATAACCATTTTGTTCCCAGTGAAGCTCCATAAGTAAGTTTGACTGCTACATGATAATTGCAGTTTGTATCTAACCCATGCTGCGAACAGAAATTATGTAAAAATGAAAAAAAAAGGTCATATGGAGAATCTACTCTTCAAAAGAAGCATGGTATGGAATAAAAACAAAGAGAAAGCAAGGAACATCATATGTCACCTTTAATAAGCAAAGCTCCATAAACTTGTCCAAGCACTGTTCTGAGGGGAGCATCTTGCTATATCCTGCAAAAGAGGAAAAATCATTGAAAAATGAATTACTGTAATGTAATATGAAAATTCTAAATTACCAATCACATGGCCTTCCTGAAGCGCAGGAAGAGTTGTACAGACTGTTAGAAAGTTAAACGTATCCAAAACTACTTCATTGCTGTGATGAAATGTTTCCAACATACTGGAACTAGCAACATCAGAGATCTAGCAACAACAGAAGTACAGAACTTGTTAACAGAAACTATTTTTCTTTTCTGCAATGGAAAGAAGAGAGAATTCAAGGATACCTTATGCGTAGTGTACCGAAATGCATCAGGTGAGACAACAAATTCAAAATCATCAGTTCTCCCTAATCGAACTTCCTACAGCAGTTCCACCACAAATATAATAACTAAAACAATGTAACATCCAGAGCCATGATATCAAAAGCTTATACTTTATAATAGAAAATAACAGATGGTAGTAGTCTATCCGAAGCATTTAACAGATGAGTCGCAACAAACAAGTGAAGGCTATGTTACCTCCACTGTAGGCATTCCATTTTTCCTTCTAGATTCATATTTCTAAAACTGCTTTTTCCACTAAAAAACATTATGACATCTTTGTAGCTGAACCACAAATGCCTTATCTATTGAGCACAACAGCATTGCACTTGCTTCCTAAGAGGAGATTAGAGCATCCGCATGCCAATGCTCAACTGGAATTTTGAAGATCATGATTAGAGCATCCGCATGCCAAATGCTCAACTGGAGATTAGAGCATCCGCATGCCAATGCCATTGCAAGTTCAATATCAAGACCATGACTAGGCACCAGAGTGTACACATAGTCTTATTTATTTATTTATTTTTGCCAATCAGAGTGTACATAGTTATGAAGAGAACTATTGAGTTCTGGGGATTACTCTAATAATCAAAGACAAATGATATGATCACTCAAATTTTGAAGTTTAGTGACTTTTGATATTTCTCAACAACCAATGTTACTTTACTATAAGTTCATTAGCTCAAGCTTTGGACACACCGAGCTAACCAAATGGGTTGGTGCACAAACTAAACTGTGATTGCGCAACTGTTGCACGTAATTCAGTGTTAAGATCACGCACGCTGCATAATTAACCATTTCTAAACCATTTTACTTCACCAAGAGGTTCGACTGTTGAATGCTCATTTCGAATTCTGGAGCAGCCAAATGACATTTGTTTGCACAAAAAGTAGCATGCAACAATGATGACTGCCTTAGAAAGGGCAAAAATGCCAAAATCATTGTACCACGTTCACCGCGCAGAGATCAGTCCTCTCCTCATTCTGATCAAACTTTGAGTCCACGTAAATATTCTCTCCCAGACACCTCCATCCATGGTCAAGCATCACGGAGCGCAACTCACACCGAACGGCTTCCGCGACCAGTGAACCTGAGCATACCAGAGCCTCCTCTTCACCCACCTCCACCTACAATGGCAAACACCATACACACGGACCGGTAAATCGTTACAGACAGAGCGCAGAAGAGTGCCCATTGTATTGCAGAAAAACGTAGAACACATGTGGGGCACGGGAGGAGAGGACACGGACTCACCGAGGCGCCAGGGAACGCGACCGCGATCTCGGAGACCGCCTCGGCCGCCTCGAGGGACTGGCATCTCTGCAACGATCGGGAAGACGAAGGGTTGAAAACCGCCACCAGGAACGAAAGTGTCGTGCCTGGGGGTGCGGAGCGGAGCGGTAGGGTGAGAGTGATACCTGGAAGACGAGGAGGGCGTCGGTGGGGGGCTGGGGGAGGCACGCGAGGCGGTGGCGGCGGGAGAGCCTGCAGCAGAGGATTTCGAGGTCGACCGCGGGTATGGGGACCGCGGCGGAGAGCGAGAGCTGGCGGAGGAGAAATGGGGGCAGCGGGGAGGGGGAGGAAGAGGGAGAGGAAGAGGAGGAGGCGGCGGCGGCGGCGGCGCGGATGAGCACCTTGTTGCGGAACATGATCGTCTACTCGCCTTCAGGCTTCAGCTGCTCCGCTTCGGCACGGGGCGCTTGTGCAGTTTTTCGGCACGGGCCAGCCCAAAAACTATTCAGCGCGGGGCAGCGCTCTAGTTTTCCTGCCGCATGCACTAGTACCACTTCGCGACTTGCGAGTGCGAGCGCTGATTTCTCTGCTCCGCTGCTAAAACTAAAACAAAAACTGTTTAAAAAAACGTTTAATAAATAGTTTCTCTTAGTAAGATGAAAACGGAACGATGGAACCATACATTGTTATATTTTTTGACACCTAGTTTAAAACCTCATTTAGAGTTTCAACCTCCAAAATTTCCAGGACGCCACTGCTCGAGCCGAAAGTGTCCATCGACCAATTGTATTTTTTTATTCCCACTGCAAGCTCAATGTCATTATGTCTATCCTACAGCGAATTTTACCTAACCTTTTTTTTCATATGACTAGGACTGACGAGATTATCATTTGTGTTCACAACATTTTTTTTGTCAGAATCTAGCTTCAATGGAGAAAGGGAGATAAGTCAGGTCTGTTGTCCTTATCTAGTCTCAACTTGTTTCAGCTTATTCTCTCTCACAGAACACTATTGAATCAACCGAAATAATCTAAAAAACCGATCAGCCGAACACGCACGCCCGCCCAGACCTCCGGACAAAAGTGCATGTCCGAACGTCCGTGCCACCTTCGTCACGCGCGCCCGCGAAAAAGGCCACGGCTGCACCTCCTTCACTTGCCCCCTCCTCTCTCTCCGCGACCGCGAGTCCGAACGCTCGCGCAACCGTAGGAAACGCTGCGCCCGTTGCTCCTTCCTCCTGACCCCCTCATCTATCTCTAGGAGGGCGGGACCTGAGAGACGCCACGAGGACACGCATGCCCCGTCCGTAGGATACTATGTGTGCTGCGCGCACCGAACACCGGCCCACGGCTCGCCGCACCCCATCCCCCCACGCCTAGGCCATCCCCTCAGGACTCTACCTCTGAAACATGAAATATTTGGATGCAACATACGACTGAAGCAAATAAAACATTTGAAACATACAATTGCAATATGTGTGTGAAACATATGCAACATCCAGATAAAACATTTGCAAAATGTTACATGAGAACACTTATTCCAACATAAGATTGAAACGACTGCAACATTTTGAACATACTCTTGCAACATAGGTGTGAAACATATGCAACATTCAGATAAAAACGCTTACAACATAAGTCTGAAACAGATAAAACATTTTGAACAAATGCTTGCAACATGCCTCTGAAACACTTGCAACATATGCAACATCTCGTTCTACTTTTGCAACATCCATACGAAACACCTGCAACATACCTCTAAAATATGTGAAACACTTGAAACATACATTTGCAACATATAGGGGGAGGTTAGGGCCGGTTGATTCTGACCTCGTGGCACGAGCACCACCAGCATGGGCCGCGCTCATGGGTGCCCTTGGCTCGGTCGAGGATCGACTTGAGGTGCGCGACGGCACCACGAGCACCAGCAGAGATGGGCGAAGCGCGCCGACGACGTGGGAGTGAGCGGCGCATGTGGGCGCGCGATGGGTGGGATTGCGGGAGCAAGGAGCGAGAGCGCGCGGGTGGACACGCGTGCAAACAACACAGGGTGGGCACGTGCGGGGAGATGGTTGCGTCTGCAAATGCGGAGTGGAGCGGACGGACACCCGCACGGCGTCGTGAAGCGTGCAATGGACGAGGAAGTGGGTATTTTTTTAGAGGGAGATGTGGGAGACATAAGTAGGATGAGGCAAGCTTGGTGGGCCACGTACGCCCAGGAATACGACATCTGATCGGACGGACGTCCGCCCCTGAGCATTACCGATGGAGAAAAGCGAAATTCCACAAATTAAAGTGGGGGAATTTAAATCTAGACATTCCAAGAAGAGTATTTAGAGAACTATCTCCTTTTCTTTTTTGCAAAAGTCAAATCAAATTATCAGGGTTTGTTTAGAATAAAGAAATGCAAAACAAAGAAAAGGAAGAAAAATGCAGGAATAAGATGTAGGTGTTGTGGGAAAATAGAGAAATGAAAAAACATAGATAGGGGTGTTTGGAACGTAGGAATTATAACACTGGATTCCCAAACACATGAGGTGTGATTAAAAGAGATGAATACTTATTTTATTATTTAAATATTTATCATTACAATGTCAAATTATAATTAACAAATAAATATATGTGTAAAGTTTTTTTATCTGCAAGGAGTAAATGAAAAATTAATAACAAGTATCGCTTTCTCTTTCTCTCTCCACGAGCGAGCGATAGAGGTTGCCTCGGGCTTCCGCGGCCGAAAACCAACGTTTTATTTCCTTCATTTTGTGAACGATACAATCCTTTCCTCTGAATGAGCGGCGCGTGTTTCTACGTTCCTGAAAGCATCTAGGCCCCTAATTAGGTTTCGGTGATTAATGACAATACGTGATTACTGTGACTAACGTGTGTTTTGTAGAGGCAATTAAGTTAGGTCACGGTAATGGAGATCGATTGGGCTATCATGATGGTCATGTCCCTACGATGGAAATTGTTTTGGTTTTCAAAGGATGGACGACAAGGTTAAGGATGGACTAGTTCTAAGTGTCGATTAGAGTTGGAGTGACACTTAGAGTAGTTTAGAACTTTGTTTTTCCTTTGGCCGTACTATTAAGGGGGGTACGGACGGGTAGCTTGACCTAGGTGAGTCTAGTGGGTTAGGTGTGGTGCACACTTGCTAAAACTAGCGCTAGGAAGCTACTACATAGCCCTTAGATCCAATGAAGCAAACTTCATTCACGTATGATCGAGAGTTGGAAGTGAATGGAGGGTCAAATACTGACTGGACGCTGGCTTTTGTCGCAGAACCGACCAATTTATAAGAGTACAAGTACAATAGCAGCCCGCAAGCGGTCGCACTGTCATACTTGAACCCATATAAACCCGGTAGTCCGTCGAGTACCACGACGGGTCTCGATAAACGATTTACAACAACCAAGATCATACATGATTCAACATACATGCCACATATTACATAAAGTTCGCAGATACATTTCTCCATCAGAGTACGAATAAAAGTTATTACAAACCGAGTTTGGTAGATAAAAGCGGAAGCAAATTAAGTTTGAAAGTAACATTTCCAACATAGTTTAATACAGTGCCAAGATACGATCACGGTCCACAAAAGCATGTAGAAGGATTAATAAGAAGCCTACCCAAGGCTTACTCCTCATCCACAGCGGGATAGAAGCAACTCTTGCAATAACCATGATATCTGATTGCCACATCGCAACATGGGAAATAAAACCACGAGTACGAGAAGGTACTCACTAGACTTACCCGCCATGAACCAGAAATAAAATGACTCTCAAGGATTATGCAAGGCTGTATAAGTGGACGGAATTCGACAACATTTTGCATAAAAGCAATTGACTTACTGTACAGTTACAATTTCTTTATCAAGTTAATTATAACTATCCATTTCTAGATTAGTAACTATCATGTGCCAAACATGTGGTATATCAATTGAGAAGCATACAATAGTAACCATAGCAGGTATTGTAATTCCATATTCATCCGAACCATCATGTTTCATAACACAGTTACTACGATGTTGGAGCTAGTCAAGTTTCTCACTATCCGGGAGAGGCGGCGATTGAATCGATTTCAACCGGTGGGAATTTATTCCTAACACAAACCCAGTCTACCACCACGATAGCCTTAGGTCACCTTTGGTACAACTCGGTACACATTTCGCGGGTCGATCACACGCGCCGCTTTAATCTGGAACACCGGATGCCGGGATGCTCAGCCCACCGCCCTTGGGCTCGGTCGATCGTTCACCGGAAGGAGCACACATGTGAGCAGGTCCCGACCTGAATTGAATTACTCGCCTTGGCGGTCGAACGCGAGTTATCCGGCCAGCTAAGTGAGAGGCATGCGTTCAATCTTGTCGGAAGTTCCAACAGCAGTGCGGTCCTTGATCGACACAGACGGGATAGATCCACATCCAAGACCTCCATGTCTTGTTGCTTCTCTATCGACATCCCGCCCGGTCTCCATTTACATTAAACATGGTTCTTTTCCACGATAGCAATTATAACCAACCGTGTTCTCGGTATCCACTATATATCGCGCAGGTGACGAAATCACCCGACTTCTACCGGTCTAAGCATGGCTAAGCATATATTCGATCCACGGACCTATACGGTTAAAGGTGTAATATTTGGACAAGGAATGTATATGCATCAAGTGGTTCCATTCAACTCTTATAACCTAATGCATCAATCATAAGTACTTAAGTAATCATTTGTAAAATCTTTGGGAGACTTAGAATGCTCGGGGCTTGCCTCATGCAGGAAGGAAGTAGGGCGGTGATCGGGACACTCTGGAAGCTCTTGAGGATTCTCGCCCACGCCTTCGAGCTGCTGGCTTGCGGATCCTCCCATGGTCCCCTTCCTCCGCTTCTTGAATTCCAAACAACGTTATTTCTTCCTTCGATCCTAGATGCATGAATATGCCATAAGTATTACGAATGCATATATGTTATCAAGTGCATCATGTTTATTGAGTAGGTGCATATCTCTTCTCGATTATTTAATTATCTACTTCCACAATGCATCGACTATATCACAAAACAGTAGCTACTTGTTTCACTCATAACTGGAGTTCTACTAATCCTAATCCAATGATCCTGGACTTTCTGGAAAGCTTATCAAATTATCTACAACTTTGTTATTAACCATTTTTACAGCAAACATCATCTCTATCATGCAACTTAGCAAACTCCAGAATCTGTCCGAAAACTATTCCAATTCGCATTATAAAGTAACAATACTTCTACTTCATATAAGTATTCAAATCTTTACGACCAAAAGTCTACCAACAGTTTAAGCATACCAAATACATATAAGAAAACATAATGGTGAAACCCAAACTATTTATCTAAATGCCTTTATTATTTTATTTGAACCCCTAGGTTAAATAATAAACCTATACCAAAT